AATAAATAAAAATCTTTAAAAAAAAAAAAAAAGAAAGAAAAATCTTATGCTCAAAGTCCTAGATAGAGTCAGAATCACTACAATTGGCCTCTATATTGTACTCTAAGACTCATGATAACTACAAAATCTAAGAATGATTTTCTTGGGATGTACAGAAGCATTATTACAGCTGATAAATCATAAAGCAGTATACCTTGTGTTTTCCTATTCCCCTACCATCCTCATCAGGTTGATGTAACAAGCACAGGGAAGTACAGGTGATCTAAAACTGAGTCAGGTTAAGTATTGTTGCACAGTTGAGTATAACCAAAAGTCACAGCATAAAATACCAAACCTAAACCAATCTCACTGCCCAATATTTTCCTGAACTAATAATAGTCATCATTTAATAAAATCCAAAAAGAAACTATTCACAAAGAAATCGCTGATGAAAGTATATAAAAATAGCCAACCAAAACCTGGTGTTTTTTTGTTTTATTTTAACAAAGGCTATAACAAAATACAGTATTTTATATATATAGTTTTGAAGATTTATTTATTCTAGAAAGAGGGGGAGAGAGCCCCTGTGTGTGAGTGGGGGGAGGGGCAGAGGGAGAGGAAGAGAAGCCTCAAGCAGACTCCCTGCCACCCAGGTGCCCCAAAATAAATAGTACTTTATTTATTTTATTTTATTTTATTTATTTATTGAGAGAGATAGTGATAGAGAGAGAGCATGAGAGGGGGAGAGTCAGAGGGAGAGGCAGACTCCCCGCTGAGCGGGGAGCCCGATGCGGGACTCGATCCCGGGACTCCAGGATCATGACCTGAGCCGAAGGCAGTTGCTTAACCAACTGAGCCACCCAGGCGCCCCAATAAATAGTACTTTAAACAAAAATTTCAAGTAGTCATGGGCTGGGGGGCCCTCAGTGGCTCAGTCGGTTGAGCCTCCGACTCTTGATTTCAGCTCAGGTCATGATCTCAGCTCAGGTCATAATCTCAGGTTGGTGAGATCCAGCCCTGTGTGGGGCTCCATGCTCAGTGGGGAGTCTGTTTCTCTACCTCTCCCTCTGCTTTTTCCCCCCTTCATGCACGCGGGTGTGCCCTCTCTCTAAATAAAAATAAAGAAATAAATCCTTAAAGTAGTCACAGGCCATAGTTAGACTACAGTAAGATTTTATTTCAGTATTTCATAATTTCTGAAATCTAAAATTTCCTACAACTGATATGTACATTTAATGTACTAATGTTTCTTACTTGTTAGAAAAACCTCTTAAATCAATGGTTGATCATAAACTTGAGAAAATTTAAGTACTTGTCTAAACCAGATTCCCCCTAGAAAGCAGAGTCTAGGACAACAGCTTACATACAGGTCGCTTATTTTAGGATGTGAATCCTAGGAAAGGTGAAACAGGAAAGGAGGGGGAAAGAGTACAAGGCTATATTAATACATTGGTTGACCTGTACTACTGTTAACAATTTTGACTCGTCCTACTGGGATCTTTACAAGGCAGCTCTAGACAGCAGAATTTTGCCATAATGGAAATGTCCTATATCTGCCCTGCCCAACATGGGAGCCTCTAGCCATAAGTGGCTATTGAGCACTTGAAGTATGGCTAGGTGAGGATATTTAAATTTAATTTACATTTAATTTACTTTAATTTAAATTAATTTAAATTAAATTTTAATTTAATTAACTTTAATTTAAATTAATTTAAACATGGAGCTGGTGGCTACTGTATAGGAAAACACAGTCCTGAAAAGTCTTGCAGAATCCACCTCATAGTTATAAGGTGAGTAATAAGGCATGCCAGATAATGCTCATTTGAAATTCTATTTTGTTCACTCATGTCTCCCAAGTTCCTAGAAAAATTCCTAACACTCAGTGGGCCCTCCATAAATATTTGTTGAATAAATCAGTAGTATTTGGGTCCACAAAGTAAATGGTTCTCTTTAAAAGCAAGACTCTATTAGAGCAAATTCAATTCAATTAAAATAGTAAGCAACTATTATATCTAAGAAATAAGTAGTAAGGGGGACTTTGAGGAGACTGACGGGGCTGAAATGTGATTATGAAAGAGGCAAGATGAGGCTCTTGAAGATTCTGATCCAAAGGACATTTATTAAAATTCAAGTAAAAGTCCTAAGGTGATCTTTTCTCACAATCTGCTTCTATTATCAACTACTAAACAATAATGCATGAAGTAATTCAGTATAATCCTTTGTTTTGATTCTTTAGTTACTGTTACCACAAACAACATTTAGCTAAATGGAATTCCAGAAGGAAAAAACCTTATTTCACCACTGTTGCCAATTCTCTTAAAAAAAAAAAAAGTCTCCATTTTAAGGAATATTTAAATATTTGCTCCTCAGCTGTGATCTTTAAAGTGAATCCACACTAATCTAGACCCTGCAACCTCCAGCCTTATATTTACTAAGGGCCAACATGCTAATCACTTTATGTACACTGTCTCATTATTATTTTCCATTTGACAGGTGTAGAAACTGAAGAGTTAAATTATTTGTCTCAAACCATACAACCAAAAAAGGACCAAACTACTTTGGATTGCATCTTTAAATCTAACACCAGGTATATATTTCAGTCTTGAGATAACTTTAGGAAGACCTAGAAATATGTTCAAGATAAGGCTGCAGCCTTGATTTTTCTTGCCAACATTTCCGCCCTATCAGTTCTTACATATTTTATGGTGTGTATAATCCAATTATTCTGAACTTGCGAGTAAAAAGTTGATCACTGAAACTTCATGAAGGCTTGTCAGCAAAATTTTGTAAAATAGGAATCATTAGCAATATTAAACACAACATGTGCACAGTAAAACCAAGCAAACAAAAACAACTGTGCTGGGGCGCCTGGGTGGCTCAGTTGTTAAGCGTCTGCCTTCGGCTCAGGTCATGATCCCAGGGCCCTGGAATAGAGCCCCACATCAGGCTTCCTGCTCCACGGGAAGCCTGCTTCTCCCACTCCCCACGCTTGTGTTCCCTCTCTCTCTGTCAAATAAATAAATAAAATCTTAAAAAACAACAACAACAACTGTGTTAACCAGCAGGCAGGGGATTCTGTTTAAAACACTCTGTAGGTTTAAAATGAGGACAGTTAATATCGGTGATCATGTGCTTTGTCCCTCAGAGGTGAATAAAAAGGTCCTAAGTATGCTTGGCTACAAGGTGAATTTTATCATTCTTACCTTATTCCAAGACTTTCAAGATCAGACTCATTAAGATGGAGTAGTGTTAAACCTGTAATTTCATTTTCTTTGGAAGAAAAGAGAGAAAAAAGATAAAATGGTTTCAATATTTACAGCATATGCATTTTTATTTCTTTCGGTTTGGATTCGCCAGATTTTACTCAGATCAACATTTACTAGCCACCCACTCTAGGAAATGAACTGTGCTAAGTTCCACTTTTTTTTTTTTTTTTTTGATTTTATTTATTTATGAGAGAAAGAGGGAGCACGAGCCGGGGGCTGGGAGGTGGCAGAGGGAGAGGGAGAAGCAGGCTCCCCGCTGAGCAGGGAGCCTCACTTGGGGCTTGATCCCAGGACCCCAGGATCATGACCTGAGCTGAAGGCAGACGCTTAACTGACTAAGCCACCCAGGTGCCCCTAAGTACCACTTTTTCATTTGCCACTTGGAAAGTCTTTTTTTTCTCAACATGGGGCTTGAACTCACAACCCCAGGTTCAAGAGCCACATGCTCTACTGACTGAGCCAGCCAGGTGCCCCTGCCCCTTGGAAAGTCTTCATTTTAATTAGATAACTATACCAACAGGCTTTTTTGGATAATTAAGTAAAAATTTTTAAGATTTATTTATTTATTTATTTGAGAGAGAGAGAGAGCGAGCATGCACTCCACTGAGTGCACAGCGAGGAGGGGCAGAGGGAGAGAGAGCCTTAAGCAGACTCCGCAGAGCCTGTCGCAGGCAGGGTTCAATGTCATGACCCTGAGATCAAGACCTGAGCTGAAGCCAAGAGTTGGGCGCTTAAAGGACTATACTACCCAGGCAACCCCTCAAGTGAAATTTTTTTAATTATTTGAGTAAATTATTTGCAGTGAAGTCCCAGTTGCAAAATCAGTAGCTTCCTTCTAAAACAGGTGAGGTTTGGGGAGGGTGGGGTGAATGAAGTCTAAATCTACTGTTCTTAGAATAGTCAGGTCAAAACCATAGCCTGGGGACACCTGGGTGGCTCAGTAGGTTGAGCTGCAGACTCTTGATCTTGGCTCAGGTCTTGATCTCACTTGATCCCATGATGGGCTATGTCCTGGGTGTGTAGCCTACTTAAAACACACAAAAAAGGAAGAAAGAACAATTCCAAGTTCAGTAAAATTTTATTTTGTATTTTTACTTTAGTGCTATCCTAGTTTTCTAAAAATACTCTCAATAAACTCTAAGACATATTTGAGGTGCCTGGCTGGCTCAGGCAGTAAAGTATGTGACTCTTGATCTTGAGGTTGTCAATTCGAACCCCACCTTGGGTGTAAGAGATTACTTAAATAAAAATTTTAAAAACTTCGGGAGCCTGGGTGGCTCAGTCGGTTAAGCATCCAACTCTTGATCTCAGCTCAGGTCTTTGGGTTCTGAATTCAAGCCCTGCATTGGGCTCCACACTGGGCATGAGGCCTACTTAAAAATTTTTTTTTTTTATTTTTTAACTTAGGGGCACCTGGGTGGCTCAGTCGTTAGCGTCTGCCTTCGGCTCAGGTCCTGATCACAGAACCCTGGGATCGAGCCCCGCATCGGGCTCCCTGCTCCGTGGGAAGCCTGCTTCTCCCTCTCCCACTCCCCCTGCTTGTGTTTCCTCTCTCGTTGTCTCTCTCTGTCAAATAAATAAAATCTTAAAAAAATAAATAAATTTTTAAACTTAAAAAAACACTAATAAACTTGAAGATGTATTTTTTAAAAAAAAGACACTGAGCTATGCAATTATGTAATTTTACACAAATGGAATTATGTCATTTATAATTTATTTTTTCACACCTAAGAAGTCACGGAGATCTTTTTGGTCAATTTTATTAAACTACATCATTTTTAATGCCTGTCTTATATTCTACAATATAGATGCACCATAATATATTTAACCAATTTTTTCTGAGCCTTACGCTCAGAAATGAGGATACTGGGACGCCTGGGTGGCTCAGTTGGTTAAGCAGCTGCCTTCGGCTCAGGTCATGATCCCAGGGTCCTGGGATTGAGTCCCACATCGGGCTCCCTGCTCAGCAGGGAGCCTGCTTCTCCTTCTGCCTGCCGCTCCACCTGCTTGTGAGCTCTCTCTCTCTGACAAATAAAAATAAAATCTTAAAAAAAAAAAAAAGAAATGAGGATACCTAAATGAGCATGCCTTAAAATGAGTATACCTAAACCGATGTGATAGTTGTAAAGATTTTACCAGATAAAATATGAGAAGTGCATAGAATAGTACTTCACACAAAGTAAATGCTGAGTAAACGCTATCACTATTATGTATAACTATTATCAATGGATAGATTATTTCTACTTTTTTGCTACTTATAACCAATGGTTAAAAGAATGACCTTGAACATATTTCTTTGGACACCTGTACAATTCTATCTGTAAATTCCTACAAGTGAAATTTCCTAAGTAAAAAGGTATTACCAAACTGTCCATGGTTTGAGCCAATAGACACTTCCATCAACTTCACTGGATTACCCATTTCTCCTATTATCAGTCTTTAAATATTTTTCTATCCAGGGGCACCTGGGTGGCTCAGTAGGTTAAGTGGGATGGAGATCTCAGGGTCGTGGGATGGAGCCAGGAGTTGGGCTCTAGGCTTGGTATGGAGTTGGCTTAGGATTCTCTCTCTTCCTCTTCCTGCCCCTCCTCGCCCTGCACTCTCCAAGAATAACTAAATCTTAAAAAAATTGTTTTAATTAAAAAATAAAAATAAAGATCTTTAAAAGAAAAAAGAAATGAGCAATTGTACCACGTGGTCAGTTTTTACCAATTAAAAGCACATAGTGAGGGGTGCCTGGGTGGCTCATTCGGCTAAGAGTTTGCCTTCAGCTCAGGTCATGATCCCAGGGTGCTGGGATCCAGCCAGGTCAGACTTCCTGCTCAGCAGGGGAGTCTGCTTCTTCCTCTCCCTCTACCCAGCCCCCCTGCTCATGCGCTTGCACTCTCTCTCTCAAATAAATAAAATCTTAAAAAAAAAAAAGGATGTAGTGAATTCTGCTCGTATTAGACTGGGTTCAAGAGAACAGATGATTCTGAAGGTTGATGAATTATTCTTTAGAACACCACTGAGGGGCGCCTGGGTGGCTCAGTCGGTTAAGCGTCTGCCCTGGGCTCAGGTCATGATCCCAGGGTCCTGGGATGGAGCCCCACGTTAGGCTCCCTGCTCAGCAGGGAGCCTGCTCTTCCCTCTCCCCACTCATGCTCTCTGTCACTATTTCTGTCTCTTTCTCAAATATATAAATAAAATCTTAAAAAAAAAAAAAAAGAACACCACTGAAACAGAGAGCCAATAACATAATCAATTATATTTTGGAGACAGAAAATATAAAACTACTTCATTCCCACCTACTGCTATTCAGAGAAAAATTCCATCCAGAGTGGAGGAAAACCAAAGGGGAGAGAAGAAAACAGAAGTACAACTTCCGACACCATCAGCTATTTTTTTAAGCCTTCAAACAGTTAAAGTTCCTCCCACCCTAGACAAATGGGACTCCACCCCATAACTGCAGAAGTGTACTAAATTTGTAAATGATACCACCTTCCTATAGAACACTTCAGAGGATAAGACAGAGAGAGGGTAAGCTTCATATCCATTAGGGAAAGTTGAGTAGATTTCAGGTGGATGGATATTTGACTTGAGCCCATTGCTTAAAACTCACAACCCACACATCTCCCCATGTGATGTGGCCAAGGTGGGGACTGCTGAGAGTCCAGTGGTCAGCTGAACAACCCTAGTGTTCAGATTTAACTAGGGAAACTGATTTTGGAGAGCAAAACATCAACATTACCAAGCTCTACAAGTACGGTCAACAAACATATTGAGCCCTACTGGGATGCTATGGTAAGGCAATGGGGATTCCGGGATTAACAAAACATGTCCCCACTCCCTTAGGAAAACCCCGCCCTGACAGATGATGGGAAGAAACTGAAACTTAAGAGCAGCAGCACATACTCTAAGTGGCAAGTGTTCAAGGAGCTGCAGCTGTAGCACGGAGGGGTCTCCTGAGCCCGGTGCGCCTGAATGACAGGTCTGGGGAAAACGTTCTTCTAAGAATAGGAACCGAGTCTCGCCCGCCCGGCGCTGCGGTGGCAAGTTCCCGAAGAAACCCAGCAGCATCAGGCCAGGGGCCCCACCCAAGTTCACAGTCCCCAAAGTCGGCTTTCTTCCAGCTGGTCCCCAACCCCAGAAGCCCCATTTCTCCTTCCTCCATCTCAGGGTGCACTCCTGGGCGCCCCTTCTGTACCTCCCCGCGCCTGGTCTCTCCTCCCCGCCTCAGGTTTCCGTTCTCAGCCGCAAGTCATTCCTCCCGAGGCGCCCCCCGCCTCAGGTCCACCCCTGCGGGTGCCTCCCCGCGCAGGTCTCCCTTCCCTGCTTCAGGGCCCCTGCTCAGGACGGCTCTCCGCCTCAGGTCAACCCTGGCTCGGCGCCTCAGGAACAACCCTTTGGTACCTCCCGGAGCAAGTCTCCCTTCCCCACTTCGGGTCCTCTTTGAGGCCCCCAGCTCACTGCCCCAGGGCGCCCTCTCCTCAGGCCCGCAGTCTCCGCCTCGGGTCGCCATCCCCCGGCCCCTCAGCCCTCTAGCCCTGCTACCTCGGAAACGGTCCAGCAGTCGGGGATCACTGAAGCCACTGCGCTTTAGGAAGCAGCACACCTGCTCCGGGCCCCAGGTCTGGTGATTTGGGCGGAGTTCGGGGCTCGGGGACGTCTCCGCCGCCGCAGAACGGATGTTTGGCGGCGTTCTTGGGCTGCCATCGCATCGGGGTCGCTTGAAGGGCTGTTGCGAGTCCGCTCCCTGCATGGCTAAAACCACCGCCGGCACAGCACAGTCAAGAACCGCGGCGCTTGGACGGCGCGCAAGCGCACTGACTGCCGGTCGCGGAGGACGAGTCCGCACAGCACTGCCAGCCTACTGGCCTCCCGCGCAGGCGTACTGACAGCTCAGACCTTGGGGCCAGGCAGCCCAGCCACTTCAGCCACCAGGCCCCCGTGCGCAGGCGCAATGACAGCCCAATGGTCCTCAATAGGTCCCGGAGTTCACAGAAAGGGAGCGACTAGAAGCAGAGCCAAGGGCGTGCTATTAAGGAGGTGAGGAAAGACTGTACCTAGGACCCGTGGAAGTCCCGGCACAGTCCGGAGCAGGGGCTCTTCTGGTGAATTGAGGGTGCCTTCCTCCAAATGAGTATCCCAGATATACCCTTGGCCGTGTTGCAGATGCCCCAAACTTAAAGAAACCTAAAAGGCCATTAAGCTGGCCATCTTCCCAGTTAGAGAAAAATGGGCAAGAAGCTGATCTGGAAGACCCTGGAATGATTTCAAATCTGATATGAAGGTAGTCTTGCATTTCACAAGTTCTACAGTATTGCTGGGCAGTTAGAGGGCCCTGGGGGTGCCTCTCCATGAATCTTTTTTTTTTTTAAGTAACGTATAATGTATTATTCAGGGGTATAGGTCTGTGATTCATCAGTCTTACACATATCCATGAACTCTTATCTTCAGGTTTCCATACAGAAGTAGACTTCAAACTTCTCTCCAAAAGAATCTTCAACCCCTCTCTCCACCCCGACTCCCTGCCCAGAGGAAAGGAAGTGGCCAATCTGATTATGTGAAACAAAATTCACCTGAGGAGATTTGAAGATCTAACTGGCTTTATTCATGTAATTTTATTTTTTTTTAAGCTTTTTTATTTTTTATTAGAGAGAGAGAGAGCACAAGCAGTGCGAGCGGCAGGCAGAGGGAGAGGGAGAAGCAGACTCCCCGCTCAGCAGGGAGCCCGATGTGGGGCTTGATCCCAGGATCCCGGGATCATGACCTGATCATGACGCTTAACCGACTGAGCCACCCAGGCGCCCCTAAGTGGCTTTAATCAGTGACTCACGAATAGGGCAGCATCCCATCTAGTGAGGACAAAGGAGATCTGAGGAACTGTACAAAATGGAAGGTTTTTAAAGGCAGAAAGGGGGTAAGACAAGGAAGTCATAGCAAAAGAAAGAATTATTTTAGGCAGAGTCCCCCAGCTTTGGAGAAAGGCAGGAGTCTACCAGGCTCCTGCCTCACCAGTGCTGGCCAGGAAATTCCAGACTGGTTAAAGATCACAGTCCTGGGAAAGGCTGAAACTGCAATTAGGTTAGATATTAAGTCTTGGTTTGCTGATGTGGGGCTTAGCACAGGTGACTTCATTTTGGACCTTTTTCTTTTTCAACATTACTTAAAGCTTATCTTCAAGGACTTTTACCACCTGGTGGTAACAGCCTGTAAAATTGAGAGGCATGTCCCCATCACGTTAATCACTTAGGGGCAAGACCAAACTTCCCTATAAATCCTAGGGCATGCAGTTAATTGGTAATAGGACCACTACTACCACCACTAAAGCCAATATACTGCCCCATCAGCCCAGCCATAGACCCATCTAGGGGATAAAGGATGAATAAGACAGGGGCACCTGGCTGGCTCAGTAAGTAGAGCATGCAACTCTTGATCCCAGGGGTCATGAGTTTGAGCCCCACGTTGGGTATAGAGATTATTTTAAAAAGCAAAACAAAACATGTAATTGAAAAAAAAAGGATGAAGGAAACAGATTATCATTAAGCAGTATGAACTAGTGGTCTGGTAGAGAGCAAAATATCCTTTTTTCTTTTTTAAAAGCAATCTCTGGGTGATAGACATTGGGGAGGGTATGTGCTATGGTGAGCGCTGTGAATTGTGCAAGACTGTTGAATCACAGATCTGTACCTCTGAAACAAATAATGCAATATATGTTAAGAAAAAAAAAAACGATAGCAGGAGGGGAAGAATGAAGGGGGGGAAATCGGAGGGGGAGATGAACCATGAGAGACGATGGACTCTGAAAAATAAACTGAGGGTTCTAGAGGGGAGGGGGGTGGGAGGATGGGTTAGCCTGGTGATGGGTATTAAAGAGGGCACGTTCTGCATGGAGCACTGGGTGTTATGCACAAACAATGAATCATGGAACACTACATCAAAAACTAATGATGTAATGTATGGTGATTAACATAATAAAAAATTAAAAAAATAAAAGCAATCTCTATACTCAATGTGGGGCTCGAACTCACAACCCTGAGATCAAGTGCATGCTCTACTGAGCCGGCTGGTCACCCCATAAAATATTCTTAGCATACGCTTAGAGCTTTACTCTGATGCTGGGCACTGTTCTAAGGGTTTTACAAATATTAATTAATGTATGTATAATAACAACCCTAGGGTGTAAGGAACTGAGATACAGAAAAATAAGTAAATAGTTTGTTCATGGTCACACAGCTAGTAAGTGATGAAGCCTGGATTCAAACCCAGACAATCTAGCGTGGCTCCAAAGTCCATGCTCTTAATCACTTGCTAACTATTGCTTGTTAATGGGAATTTTGAAATAAAATTATTTTATATTAGTTAACTCAAAATTTTCAATTACTCCCCTTTTCCCAAAGACCCAAGGAGGAAAGTATAGAGGGGCGAACTTGCCCTCCATCTGCACAGAAGGGCCAGGCTCAGCAAAACACGCCCTTAAGCCCCAGAATGATTTGAGAAAAGAACAGAGAGTTGCCAAGACCTGTGAAACCCAAACAAAGGGGTAAAAGAGACAATGAATAACCTATGAATGAAAGCCTATTTTAACTTGGAAATGGCTGGCTTGGAGACTTGTATTTTTTTAGACTTGTGGGAAAATCTGCCCTGATTGCAAAGTTTCCTTGGCAGTAGAAGGTGGTATAAAGCAGGGTTTTAAATTTAATCAACTGGGTTTGTTCAAAGCAGTTGCTTTTGAGAACTTTAATTTTCTGTTTATGTTTGTTCAAGAGTGTCATTTAATGCCATGTTTATTATTTTCCTCCTCATCCCCTACTTTCTAGGGGTCCTAGATCTTGCACAAGGTGGTCGGTTACTTGCTCAAGGTCACATGGCTGGTAAGTGACAGAATGGAGATTTGAAGCTGACTCCAAAACTTCAGTGCTTTCCAGTTTACCAGGTCAGTGACCTCTACTCACAGTCCTGGTGATCTTGTTCCATCTCGTCTTTCCACAACATGGGAACAGTTACCTCCTTGACATAGGCCCTGTGCTCTGGTCATGTTGAAAGAAAGGACGGCTCAGCCTCTCCTCTGATGTCAAACTTGCCATAGTTCAGACTAGAAAAAACTGTAATTTCAATTAACTAAAAGCCCATTGCTTCATGACCTTGAATATACCCAGGAATTTTTCCCTGCCCTTACCTAGCTACCTTCCATCCACCCAGCTGAGCTGGGCAATTTTATTTCTGTCAGCATTAACCATGTGGTTTTAAATCTCTCCACAGCTTCCTCTTCAACCATTGCTGCTGGTTCTCAATGCTAGCTGTCACTCTCTGTTTCACTTCCTCTTCACCCTTCACTGAACCTAGCCTCCTCAAGACATTCTTTTATTTTTTTTAACATTTGCCGCAAATCCCAAAGCCAAGCCAAAATTCTTTTTTTTTTTTTTTTAAGATTTTATTTTCATGTAAGCTCTACACCTGACGTGGAGCTCAAACTCACAACACTGAGAACAAGAGTGGCACGATCCACCAACTAAGCCAGCCTCCAAGCCAAAATTCTTTTAAAAAAATAATAATTCATTTTCTCATCTGATAAAAATAACGCTCAAGAAGGAAAACTTGGAAAGCAAAATGTGTATATATGCAAAGATCACTTCCTGGTAGGTGCTCCATAAATCATTTTTTAAAAAGATTTTATTTATTTATTTGTTGGCGAGAGAGAGAGGGCACAAGCCCAGGGGGAGCGGCAGGCAGAGGGAGAAAGCAGGCTTCCCGCTGAGCAGGGAGCCTGATGTGGGACTCGATTCCAGGACCCTGGGATGATGACCTGAGCCGAAGGCAGATGCTTAACCAACTGAGTCACCCAGGCATCCCCATAAACCTTTTTCTGTTCATAAATGTAAAAACTTATCTCCAGGTCTGGGAATTCTTTGAAAAAAGAGACCTTGCAGAATGACGATAGTTACCATATTTGAGTACCTGCTATGAGTCAGAACTTGCAGAATGACAGTAGTTACTATATTTGAGTACCTGCTGTGAGTCAGACATGTGCTTTACTTTATATCCATAATTTTTTTTAAAGATTTTATTTATTTATTTGACAGAGAGAGAGATAGCAATAGCAGGAACACAAGCAGGGGGAGAGGGAGAAGGAGAAGCAGGCCTCCCGCCGAGCAGGGAGCCTGATGCGGGGCTCGATCCCAGGACCCTGGGATTATGACCTGAGCCGAAGGCAGACGCTTAACAACTGAGCCACCCAAGCGCCCCTATATCCATTATTTCTAATCCTTATAACAACCTCAGTCAATAGGTATTATACTAGTTAGACTTATTTGGTTATAGATACATTCACCCATTCATTCAAGAAATATATCTTTTTTGGGGTACCTGCTTCTCCCTCTCCTCTGCCTGCTGCTCCCCCTGCTTGTATGTGCTCTCTCTCTCTCTGTCAAATAAAAAATTTATTTATTTATTTGACAGAGAGAGAGAGTTTGAGCAGAGGGAGGGGAAGAGGGAGAGGGAGAGAGATTCTCAAGTGGACTCCCTACTGAGCACAGAGCCCAACACAGGATGCAATCCCAGGACCCTGAGATCATGATCTGAGCCAAAATCAAGAGTTGGACAAGTAGCTGACTGAGCCACTCAGGTGCCCCAAGAAATATTAATATTTACTGGGTACTTACTGATTTGCCTGGCACCTGAGACACAGCAGTGAACAAAAGAAACAGAAATCCCTACCCTAGTGAAACCCATATTTCTAGTTGGGGTAGACTGGCAGTGAATAATAATATAATTAACAGTAGTAAACGGGCGCCTGGGTGGCTCAGTTAAGCTTCTGCCTTCAGCTCAGGTCATGATCTCAGGGTCCTGGGATCGAGCCTCACGTGGGGCTCCCT